GGTTGGTCAGGCAGGACTTGCCCTTGGTGAAGCCGTGCTGGCTGTCTCGAATCACCTCCCTGTCCTCCATGTGCTTGAGCATAGCTTCTAGGAGGATCTGTTCCATGATCTTCCCAGGCACAGAGGTGAGGCTGACAGTCCCCAGGGTCCTCCTTTCTACCCTGCTTAAAAATGGGTGCAATGTTTCCCTTTTTCCATTCACTGGGGACTTCACCTGACTGCCGTGACTTTTCAAATATCATATCAGTCAACTGCTTCAGGACTCTGGGATACGTCTCATCAGGTCCCACAGACTTATGTACATTCAAGTTCCTCAGGTGGTCTCAAACCTGATCTTCCCTTACAGTGGGAGGGGCTTTATCCCCCTGGTCCCCATCTTGTGGTCCATCGACTCGGGAGGGGTGAAGAGAGAGGTTGCTGGTGAAGACTTACGCAAAAAAGTCGCTGAGTACCTCAGCCTTCTCGTCTGTTGATACCAGGTCGCCATTCTTGCTCATCGGCGGGGTACGCTTTCTTTAACCTTCCTTTTTTGGTTGACATACCTGTAGAAGTCCTTCTTGTTATTCTTTACATCCCTTGCCAAATTCAGCTCCAGCCGTGCCTTGGCCTTCCTGAACCCATCCCTACACAACTGGGCAGCTCCCCTGTACTCTTCCCAGGACACCTGTCCCTGCTTCCACTGCCTGTGCCATTCCCTCTTACTCTTTAGTTTGACCAGCATGTCTCGACTCAGCCATGCTGGTCTCTCCCCTTCCTTGCCTGATTTCTTACACCTGGGGACTGAGAACTCTTGTGCTCTATGGAAGGTGTCCTTAAAGATCTGCCAGCTCTGTTCCGTTCCCCTGTCCCTGAGGACCGTTTCCCAGGTGGTCCTTCTGACTAACTCCTTGAAGAGCGGGCATTTTGCTCTCCTAAAATTTAGGGTCCTGACTATTCCAAAATATGTGGGGAAAAAAAAAAAGAATTGTGCAGATCTATTTAGAGCCCTTGCATAGTTTTAAAGACTATCTAAGCCTGAATAGCTCTTAAAAGAAGGTGTCTAGCTTTCCCCCATCTGTTCATTCCTGATGTTTGGACACTGCTACCCTACATTTTCCCTGGTTCCAAATGCTAGGTAATAACAGAGTTCTCACGGGGTGACCAGGTTCCTTGATAGCCTAGAATGCAACAGGAACTCATACAAAGGAGGATCTTGAACATGCCAATAATGACCATAAAAAGCATAAATCAAGTATATAAGACAAAATCTAGTTGGCCAGCCAGTTACTTGTTTTCATTCTCTCTCTAATCATTTAAAAGAACCTACAGCATAAGGAATAAGCTTCTTTGGCCAGCAAATTTTGGGGTTGGTTTCACGCAGTCATGTTACACAGATCACAAACAGCCGTAATAAGTATAGAGAGTATGAGATAGTAAAATTGCTCACAATATGTGCTTTTTTGATTTGCGATTTCTTACAAGGAAGAACACACGCAAAACAGCAGACTAGTCAGACCTGACAGCTCCCTTCAAGGTGGTGTTATTAAGAAGAATCCCAAGAAGAGGGGGAAAAAATAAAAATAAAGTTCAGGAACAGAGAAGTAATCCTGAATTGGAAGAGGAGTTCATGCTTCTACTCAGTATCATTTAGACCAAGGGAAAAACAGGACCTCCCAAACACAACCTGTCAAAGAGTTTTTGAACTTATACATGTGACTTCAAACCTGGATTTGAGCTTACCATCAAATCTGTGTTTTTAGAAGCAAGTGTTAAAAAAATATGGAAGACTGAAGAAAATTGCTAATCCTTATAATAGTAAAACTGAACACTAATTATGTCTTATTTCTCAAAAAACATCTTGGGTATACATCATATTGTGAACTGTTGTTCAATTCTTTAAATATTTAACAAACAGCAAGTTTGCAATGGCCAAGTAAACTTTCAATATACACTACTTTTGCCTTCCAAGAGCAAAAAATTACCCTCCCTCCCCAAGAACTCACCATAGCTGGAAACTGGCAGTCTGAGTAGAATCACAGAAGTCAATACCCATTGAAACGGTAATGGATCCTGCAGGCTCAAGGCACTCTACATGAAAACATTTTGAACAGGTAAAGTACACATACAAAGCAACAGAAGATCCCAGATGCAAACCCCCAAACTTCACATAATTAGAAAACCTGTGTTTAAAAAAAAAAAAGCTCCATAAAAAAGAGGCAATACTTGCTGTTTTATTTCAAGTAGGTATCACCCAAATGTCACACTTCGGTATTTAAGTGTCTTGGACTCCCCCACCCCACAGTTAGTGCACATGAAATGTTGCCATTTCAATCTTACAGCCCTGCCATCAACAAAATAAGGATATGTATTAGAAAAGCTAGGAAAATTATTTACAGAAAAAAAAATATATTGAAGTTACATCCTTTTACTTGTGTACAGATACAGCACTGAGATTTCATTTTCAATAACACCAGTTTGCAAATTTAGTTAATATATAGTAAACCACAACAAATATTAATAAAATTTACATTACTAAAGGCAGTAATGGAAAAAGAGCCAAACTTAAAACATTTCATAATTAGTGTGGTTTACTTATTTCTCAATATCCCAATTGCATTAGTTATGGCAGGGAGCAGAAAGATTATGAACCCAAAATGGAAGATAATTTTTGCTTTATAAGCAGTGCAGACTGAGGCACTGCTCAAATTAAGGCATCAAGACACATGCTCATTCTTAGTTTCTTGGCTGTATCACCATACTGTTTCCTCAATGTTGTAGAGATGAGGCTTTGTTTTGTAGGAAGAGCTCGTTCTTTACATAAGTAGGAGGTATCAAAAACAAGTATTGGAGCAGAGTTTGACTTCTCATGATTACAAGAAAGAAAACCTAAAAGCACAATTAAAAGAGAGGAATTCAAATAAAAATGACTGGGCAGGCATAAAAATGTCTAATTTCCAGTTTATTCATTAATGTATCTGATGCTTTTCAGGAATTGAAGAGTAGGCAGCTGCTTCATGACAAAAGGAAACAAAATTTAACTGTATCAGGATTTAAGTTCTGAAAAATATGGAAAACGTGGAGATGATGCAGTTACACAAAGACTGAACTAATGCTA